ACGGCTTGCCTGGGCTGATCACCGTCATGCCTGTGCTTCCCCTTGGAGGAACAGACATTACCCATGGGGGTAAACGCTAGGAAAGTTCCGAGAGGCTTGAGTTCATTGGCTCACCCCGCAGTCCACTAAGCACCCAGTTCATGAGCTTATCGCGATAGTTCCCTGGAAACCAGATGTAGGGCCAACAGCGGCTCAGCGAGCCCACTCAATCTCCCCCCATGATGCCAGGGTTGATCCTTCGAGATCGACATGTCATCCCACGCATCTGGAGTAATCCACAACTCGGACGAGTTATAACGCTTCCCTCCCTCCTAGACAGTGGCGGTTGGTGGGCGCCCGGAGCCGGTTTACGGCTACAGCTACATGGACGCAAGCGTGTCAAGCCGTCCCAAGCAAGTACCATTTTAGGACCCCCATGCGGTCAGGGTGAACCACCAAGAACCTCCTTTGCGTCTCATAACCCAAAAAGGAAGGCTGAAGGAGAAAAGTAGTTGTAGACCACACACATTCAACACAGGAAAGCTTCACCGCCCCCCAGTGTGTCCCGAAATGGAAAGTGAAGGGAGAAAACAAACGCTGAATAGGCCTTGGGTAGTCTACCCCAGATATTGATAAAATCAAACTAAGAGCCGCACACCATTTCCGATTTTGGTTTGGAAGTCGTTGTCGTTCTCTCCGCTATTCATACTCATCTCTACCTACCAACGATCTCCGAATCCTGTATTCCATCACACGTCCTCTCTAGTCTTATCTTAATATCTTCACTTTTTCCAAAATGCTCGGCTTCCAGGTTCTTCTTGTCGCCCTCCAGGCGTGGGCGATCACCGCTGCTCCTCTCCTCGTCGCTCGCCAAAAGGATACCATCACCACCGCTCTCGGCATGGTCCAGACCTCTCTCCAGAAGCTCGATACCGCCGTCAAGGGAATCTCCGCCAACGACGCCAACTCTGTGGCTCCCGTTCTCACCGCGGCTCAAGGTTCTCAAGATGCTCTTACAAAGGCCACCTCCATGATCGACAGTGCCGACAGCGTTGGTCTCTTTGGCGCACTTGGCCTCCAGCAGACTGCCGGCGACCTCGTCACGCAGGTCCAGACTACCCTCGGCGACCTCTCGCAGAAGAAACCCGTGTTCGATCAGCTTGGTGTCAGTTCCGTCGTTAAGGATGCTCTTATGCAACAAAAGACTGGCAGCGGCGCGCTCGGTGATACCCTACTCGGCAAGGTCCCTGCCATCGCCCGCCCGATTGCGCAACAGAGCACTGGTCAACTTGCGGAGGCTTTGGATAGCGCTATTGCGACGTTCTCAGCATAGAGGAGCAGGATCAGTATGACGGCCGTGCTGGGTATCGCGGCGAGAAATACGGGTTCTGGTGGACTGGGGGAGACGTGGATGGTGAAAGAAATTGTCACTATGATACGTGCAAGGAATTCGTGGGTTGGGGGCAGGGGGGGGGTGATGTGAACGTGGTGATAGGGTGGCGGGGAGGAAGAAAACAGCTCGAAAGAGGAGGATCATGTAATCGAATCGAACACTTTCGTATTCGTCCTCGAGTACTTCGTGAACGACAGCCCCACCGTAGCGAGTCTCCTGTGACAGTGCGATATTGGAACTCGTAGCATCTCAACTATTCTTATCTAATGAAAGTTTGGAATTTCTATCTTCTGGAGTGATGAAAATGACAAGTGTTTTAGATATCTAAAAGATTTTCAAGTCAGAGTTCCAGACTTGTCAGTCAAGCCGCGTCTATCCGTAAGCTGTGCATCTCAAGCCTAGCCAGCCACAATCGACCGCGTGTACCAAGACACCATGGCTGTGTTTATCTACAAGACCCTGATCAAGCAAATGAATATGAGCGATGTTTTCAGATGCTCCAAATTAGTCTTGCTCGCTCTAGTAACATCTGCCAGAATCTCTGGAGCCGGCAATATGGGGGTAGGCACCAGCGGAGGTAACCTCACGGAGACTCCTTGCCTAGCAATTGAACTGAAGAATATCAACTACAAGAACCACCATCTTCCCATCGCCATTTACCCACTTACGCTGCCTTGTACTGAGAGGTGGTTTACAGACCCAGGCAACGGGCGTACAGAGCAACCTAACGACGAACCTAGCGCAAAATCCTACAGGACAAGGGCGTAGAAAGGCAAAAAGTGTAAGTCAGTTGCAACGCAGCTGAGACTGAACACTGAACCCAACGAGGAAAGCCCAATGAGGTCGGGGCCGGGCCGTTACGTATCAGCAGGGTTATTCCTCAACCACCATCAGCCCTGTGGTCAGGACGGAAGCTTTTAGCGTTCGCCAGTTTCTGCCTTTCGACCGAGCTTTACGCGGGATTGCATGAATAGTTCAGGGGTGACCCCACTGTCAAGGCTGAACTTGCGTCGCATTTTCAATGCTTACCAAAGCTTCTTGTTGCATCTTGTGTGACTGTCAGCGTATTCTTGCCGTTTCGTAGGCCTTGGCGTCGCTAATCGTGGCTGTGCTTTTATCCTCGTGCTGCCGATGCATGAATACTTGCGTACTTTGACAGCTGACTGACGGGGCACGATCGCGACATTTGACAGGCTCCTGGGCTTTCGGCTGGCATTGATCATCTGTTTCCTTGAGCAATGAGGACCTCCAGTGTTGGAAGTTTCCGTTCTCATCACAATAAGTTCTGTCAATACATACTTCGTACCAATTGGGCACAGACGATAATCACTCAGGTCTTACAGAATCAAGCAGATTGACGGCGGGGCTTTTCTTCAAAGTTCGCTGTTCGACGTTCAGCGATGGGCAAGTTCTGGGTCATACCAGGTCCTATGCAATTGTCCCCGTAATTGGTGCACTCAACAGACGCCATTAACTACGGAATTAGCTGCCAGCAATGCAATTAGCTATACATAGGTCGAGTAGACATAAATCTTGACATTGACAGAACGTTATTAAGTGAGTTTTCTACCTATATCTACAGAATGAGCCATGAAAGAAGCTTCAACACATAGTGCTTCCTCAAACGGATAAGACAAAATAATTTTCGTTTGGGAATATGTTTCGCAACGCTGCGGTGGGCTCATGACGGAGTGACTTTAGATACGTCTGGACGTTGTCAATTTGTGCAGTCTCTTTGACTCAACTATGCTGGTGGGTTCCAACTAGCTTTCTCAAGTGTTCCTCTGAGTTGCTTGCCTTACGACAGCATGCTTGTGTTGTATGATCGAAGAGAATCTACGCCCAGCCAAGATGAACGACCATTGCCCGAAATCACTCATTGTCATAGAGCCCTTTATAACTCCTTACCCATGTTCAATCTTGTCAGACCTGGTGGTGCCAGGTAGAAGGTAACCCAAAAAGTGCCCTTATGTTAATAACTAAATTACAATGCCTATACCACGATCGGGAGTAGACTTAGAACTTGATTGAGACAGAACGCATCTTCGCATTCAGTCTCTTTGCACCTTTAATAGTACTCAAGACTGACTCGTAGACAACAACGGGGTCGTAAGCTTTACAAGATTGAGATCGGCAAAACCGGGCTGAGCATGACGATCATAAGACTACCGGGGCTGCATGAACGCGATACCGAGAACGGGTACGTAAAGTGACAGCTCTTGATGGTTACTACGTTCCACATATCACGGAGCAGAGTGGTGAGACATAGCGTTAACCGACACACACGTACATGAGCGACTCCTGTACGGCGCAACTAGCAGAGTGCACTCCATGATTAGTCTTCGATTCCGAGCCAGGCTGGATATTGGCAATTCATATGAAACTCGAATCGTGGCCTTCATGTCGTGACGGGCTTGAGGTGGAGCTCGGTGCCGATATTCCGAATGAAATGCCAACGATCCGCTTCAGACCCGGCTTTCAGTAAAGATTTTCACGAGGCCTGTGGCGGAGTTTTGCATGCCATATCAGAAGGTGAGAAAGATAAGGGGAGAACAAAATATTTTCTTTTCGCTATATTGCTGAAGGAATCCTCAGATTGATCATTATGACATTGGTTTGCCGAATAGTGTACTGTTTGTCAATTAACATCGTCGCACTTAACTCAATTAGATTCCAAAAGTGGCTTTCACGAAAGACCAGGCGATCCAACTCTGTGCTGTCACCATTTCTCATCACCTTGAAAACTGTCATTTAAGCATGTTCAGCACAGGGCTAGACTCACGACTCATGCGAGATCTGAGCGCAGATCACCTCATTCTCGCATAGCCCTGGTCGCCATTGTCCTGGCTGCTGCGGTACGCTGACATGAACGGGGCTGTACATTTCTTATTTCCTTCCACCCCATGATCCAGCCCAATTCTTGCTTGTTTGCTGGATCCATTGAGCCGGAATCAAATACCTTCCGCTATACCCCTGATGACGAATGGGAAGATCCCGGTCAAATCAGCTTCTTGGTTGGTTTCTTGGGTTTTCAGTGGAGACTTCCACTCCGCCATCCCACCGACGCCGGAGTCCTCCGATGGGATGCTCATCGGACGAGCCTCCGGATTGGATACAAGCTCCGTGGGGGGCACGAGACTTGACTCGTTAAAAGGCTTGGAGCGGCTTTATCCCGTACATACTACGACTCTGTAGTCTGTACGCCATACCGCCGTCTACACTTATGCTGGCCTGTACGTTGTAAATACATCCATCAATACTAAACCAGGCACTAAGGATGGGACGGGTGGACCAATTTGGAAGGACGCTCGTGGATCGTCTCATCTGTCAACGGCACCTCCCGCTGCTTTCGTCATGAAGCGCGCGGTAGACTTCGCTAGCAGTTCTCTACAACATGGATGTTTGTGTAGCATGACTGTTGTTGGGGCCTGGTTCTAGGAAGGTATCATGAGATGGTGTCACTGGCCTACGGGCCCTTTGCGAGTCGAAAGGAATAGGGGCGGAGGTGTCTTTATGCGCCGGTGTATAAGAAGGAGGAGGAAGGATCGTACAGCTTAATTGTGTAAGTGGCTCATCAACGGCTTTTCACACATTCTTTCTTTCTTCCGATTAGTTCAAGTCCGTCATTATGGTTCGCTCATTGCTTGCCCTCGCCCTTCTGGGCACTCAGGCACTGGTCAACGCCGCTGCCGAAGTTGAGACCCGCACTATCGATGAGATTTACCAAGCTGCCCTTGCTGAGGGTGGTGTCGTTACTCTCTGGCACGGTGGTGATGAGTTGACTCAGCAGAACTCCGTGAAGGCCAGCTTCGAGAAGAAGTTTCCCGGCATGACCCTCAACGTCACCGTCGATCTTTCCAAGTACCATGACGGTAACTTGGACGACCAGCTTGCCGCCAAGAACGTCTTTGTCGACAGCATCATCCTCCAGACCCTCCACGACTACCCTCGCTGGGCGTCTGAGGGTGCGCTCTTGGACTACGCTCCTCTCGGATACGACCAGATTCTCCCTGAGTTCAAAAACAACGAGACCGCCGCATACTATGGCATGTACATCATTGCCTGGGCTGGTCAGTGGCACACTGGAAAGCTTCCCGGCATCAAGGCTCCTATCGAGTGGGAGGACTGGGTCAACCCCGACCTCAAGGACAAGCTCGTCCTGACCTACCCTAACGACGACGATGCCGTCCTCTTTGCCTTTGATCTCATGTAAGTCACAATACCTCTAGCTTACTGTCAGCACTCAGTTCTGACAACGCAACGTAGTCTCAAGCAATACGGATCCGCCTGGCTCGACAAGCTCATCGCCCTGAATCCCCGCTGGGTCCGCGGTACTCAGACCCCCCGCACCATCCTCGGCCAGAACGGCACCCAGTGAGGAGCCACCTTCACCTCCTCCGGCAGCCTGACTCCTACCGCGCCCATCAACGTCTCCCACCCCATCGAGGGCCAATTTGTCTCTTGGCCCCAGACCGGCGGTATCCTCAAGGACGCCCCCCACCCCGAGGGTGCCAAGCTCCTGCACGCCTACCTCCTCAGCTCCGAGTTCCAGACCGCCCGCGGAGGATGGAGCGTCCGCGGCGACGTCGCTCCCCCCGCCAACTACCCTGCCATCCTCGATATGCCCGGTACTGACCCTACTGCCTTTGGCAAGTGGATGTCTGACCGCGCGGCTGTTGAGAGACTCCGCTTCTGGCTCGAGGACCGCCTTGGCACTGCGCAGGGCCTCAGCCCCTTGATCGATGACTTGTAAATGATGTTGTCTGCAAGTGCGTGGACAAAGATGGTTTTATGAACTTCATGTAGATATTACCAGCTTGATTGAAGCAATAAACCAAGTACATATGCTTTAGCTGAACGATCCATCTTGACTACTTAAACATGTCGACTATGCGTTTGACTGATTTCAAATTGAGTGAATATCGAATTTGCACCAAAAAGTAGTCTCACCGAGTCAGAACCTCGCGTGGCGAGACTGAGATCAGCCAGGTCCCCTTCTACTCTACGGCTTCGCTCATCCGCGGAAAGACGGAATCACAATCATCGACAACGTCTAGTCCCTTGCGTACGCGCATAGCCGGCAACATCGACCGATCGCTCAGGGGTGAGAAAGGCAGGTGATCAAATAGGAGCTGCCGGAAGCAGACTCCTTGCAGGCGGCAACTGCCCGGAAGCTCAGGCGACCCTTGCAAGATTTTAAGGTACAAATAAGCTATGATGGTCTGTGGGGTAAGGAGCTTGTTTGGATTAGAGTGAAAATGGCGCAAAAGTATGCCTGATTGGGCGTTCTTGCTGATGACCTTGCAAGTTCATCAAATATTACGCAAGGAAGGGCATGCAAAATCTGTGTTCCCCTGTTCATTGCTGATTCCCCTTTATCAATCTGTTCCGGTGTTCTCTTTGGTTTTACCCGGTGGAGTTTCTGCGAATCAACAGCCTTTCTGGGGGGCGAATGAAGAGTTGATTCAATTCCTACAAGGATCCGGCAATTAACGCCTCCGGGATCTAATTGCTTCCCGCCTTGACAGAAACAAGCAGGGAAATCCCTGTAGAATTCTCCATTGGTTGCTCATCTAGACCGCTCCATCTGCGACTCGTCTAGCTTGCTAACACCAACTTAGTATACACAATCTGGTTCAATTGATGTTTTGAAGGGATTTTCTATTGAATCTTCAATAAAAATGTTGTAGACTAGGGGTGATTCACGAACGACTTTCGCCGGCGCTGTACTTGATGTTCTACGGAATTGCCAAGGAGCCGTGTTTAACTCAAGTGATGCCGGGATAGAGGCGATAGGAAGCGAGTGTCGATCTTCCTGGATTTTGAAGAATATTTGTTTTTCAACGTTTCTTAGTCATGCTATAACTGCAGCAGTTCGTAATAGATGAGAAGAATTCTTGATAAGCCTTTATGCCTTGGGGCTTGATCTACTGATCAGTAACATGGGACGTTCAGCAAACACTGAGAGGCATTGCAGACCTTTTCAAGCGATGATACGCGAATATAGTTTTTTTATTCAAGGAAAATCAGGCAGAAAACATGACCGCACCAGGTTTAACTCCTCTGCATGGAAAAGGACTCGTTAATACGGTCTATGAGTAATCAAATTGTGGATAACTCTGCCTCGCACTTAAGTCAACATACCCACTTCCTGGCACCCCCCTGTTTCTGGCACCCACAAAAACGCGAAAATCCACCACAACCCAATGCCCACCCCCAACCTCCTTTTATCACAACATTTTCAATTCGCGTCCAAATGGGCTCATCTTTTGCACATGTCTTCTTCTATATATAATGCCTCAATATACCGAAGATCAGCTTCGTCAGGCTCTCGAGGA